GAATTAGGGGGCCCCCATTGTTTCTGCCGGGCCCCTATCTGCCATGGGCCCCCGTACCGCCTCCTCATGCTGCTGCCAGGTCCACAGTGTCTCATGGCCCCTGTACGGCCCCCATTGCTGCTGTCTCCATCGCCACACTCTGCCATGTGCCACTTTCGGGTCTCCAGTACCCCCCGCCTCCTCATGCTGCTGCCAGGTCCACAGTCTCTCATGGGTCCCTGTACGGCCTCCCATTGCTGCTGTCTCCATCGCCACACTCTGCCATGTGCCACTTTCAGGTCTCCTCACACTGCTGATGGGTTCCATTTTTTGTCATAGGGTGCTGGCAGATTACGGGCCTCCCATTGCTGCTGCCAGGCCCGTAATCTGCCATGGGCCCCCGTACCGACTCCTCATGCTGCTGCCAGGCCCGTAATCTGTCATGGGCCCCTGTTGTCGCTTGTTGGCATATTCCGCTCGTTCAGATGCTCCTTCTCCTGCTACTCCTCTTCACGGATTCCGTCAGCAGTCTTTCTTGGAATCCGTTTCCAAGAGACAACAGTTTGCGAGCACGCACCCGACGGTGCAGAAGCTGAACGTCCTCCTGTCCAAGTTGCTGCTGCCAGGCTCGTAATCTGTCATGCGCCCCTGTACCGCCTCCTCATGCTGCTGCCAGGTCCAGAGTGTGTCATGGGCCCCCGTACCGACTCCTCATGCTGCTGCCAGGCCCGTAATCTGTCATGGGCCCCTGTACCGCCTCCTCATGCTGCTGCCAGGTCCAGAGTGTGTCATGGGTCCCTGTACGGCCTCCCATTGCTGCTGCCAGGCCCGTAATCTGCCATGGGCCCCCGTACCAACTCCTCATGCTGCTGCCAGGCCCGTAATCTGTCATGGGCCCCTGTACCGCCTCCTCATGCTGCTGCCAGGTCCAGAGTGTGTCATGGGTCCCTGTACGGCCTCCCATTGCTGCTGTCTCCATCGCCACACTCTGCCATGTGCCACTTTCAGGTCTCCTCACACACTGCTGGTGGGTTCCATTTTGTCATAGGGTGCTGTATGGCCTCCCATTGCTGCTGCCTCCACCGCCACACTGTGGCTCCACACTCTGGTTTTGGCCCCGTGACTGCCCAAATGAGTGAAGTGTGCGGTGATTCTAAGATCGACGGCACTCATCTGCATGTCATACTGACTGACAGTATTATTTCTCTTCCCCAGCAGACTCCAAGGGCATTTAAATTAAAGGTACAGTGTTCTGCACTAATATAAAGGCTCTCTGAAGCCTAGAAACACCCTTTTATAAGTTAAATTCGCAGCGAATATATTCGACTCGAATCGAAATTTTTTTCACGAATTCGCCGAATCAGTCGAATCAAATTTTTGAATAATTCGCTCATCTCTAATTATAATATAATTTTTACATTGCAGCAACACAGTATTATGGCAATGCCAAACATTTACACATATATACTGTACATAAGACACAGGGGTCTTGCTGACTATTTAACAAGTTCGATGTAATTATGTAATTATCAGAATGATTAAAACTTATATTTAATGTAGTAAAACATAACACTGATGTATATATATATTATTCTTAGAAACATTATTTACTCCATGTGTTAAGCTGTTGATTTAAACATCCAAGCTTGATTTACAAGAGAACAGAACAAAAAGAATACAGTTTACAGACATCAATAGTGTCAAGAAAAAATTTGCAAGACATGTGCGGTGTACATTCACTTATTTGCCACATCATGTGTGTACATTTTATAGCCTTAATGTCTCCATAAAATAAAAACTAAAGGCAAGATTTTTTGTTTTCTTTTTGGATAGAGTAAGGGAGGGCTATAACTTCTGTCAATTTTTCTGCCATCTGCATCCCATTGGGGAGATTTCCCTTCACTTCCTGTCACATGGCCAAAACAGGATGTGAGAGGAAAACCCGCCAAAGTGAGTGTACCCCTTGTCACCAGGGTCACTAGAATTTGTGCCCCATTGGAAGATTTTTCCTGTTTTCCCTCTATTCCTGTTTTGGTGGAAACCCAAAATATTGGGATTTTCTTTTGCTTCCAGTCTTGGTGATAATGGCAAAAAATTGTGTCAGACTGTGCTCTGTGTTTGAACACATCAAGTGCTCACAGAAAACAGACATAACCCTGTTATACAGTACTATATATATATATATATATATATATATATATATATGTGTGTGTGTATATATATATCTTTATAATTAGCCACTGTTTTCTCTTGCACTGTGAACACAACCCCTTCACTCTTACTTGACAAAGAACTATATTAATATACTATGTCTTCATAGTAACATTTCTAGGGTTCTGTCATTTTCAGCGCACAAGAGGTACTTTTACTTTTTTGTTAACAGTTATATAAGCCTATAGTTGACTTATAAGGTATAAAAAGGCAACTTTTTAACAAGATTATATATATACTGTGTTATATGTGTATATATATATATAATATATATATATATATATTATTGTGTGTGCCTGTGAAGGTTTGCATTTGTACAGGTCGTGGTATAAATAGTCACATTTAACTAAACTTGTGTTCTAATGTTAAGAATGTTTCTCCACTCATCTATGTGGCTTCCCAAAGTCACTTGCATGTTGAAATCTCCAGGGAACAGTAAAGTAAGGGATTTGGACTGGTGGAGCTTCACTTATTAAGCAGTGGAAGAGCCGTACTGGAGACTTACTGGTTCTTTAATAAAGTGATACTAAACACACACTGGGGTAGATTTACTAAAAAATGGTGCACTCAGAATCTGGTGCAGCTGTGCATAGTAGCAAATCAATTTCTAACTTCAGCTTGTTCAATTAAGCTTTGATAATAAAACCTCAAAGCTGATTGGTTTCTATGCAGAGCTGCACCAGATTCTGAGTGCACCATTTTTTAGTAAATCTACCCCAGTGCACTATGCAGTTTTAGTAAATAACCCCACTGTTTAATTCACATTATCCATTCTCTTTCTGTATGTGGATGACGACACTATGATTATTTTAATAAAAATAAAATCTAAGTACCTTTTTCCTATTCAACATACAGCTGTCAGATGACCCAGTGCTTTCCCAGCCTGTCTGCAGGGAAACAGTGGCAGGAGAAGCTTCTAGTCCGCTGCTACTCACGTGAAAAAAAAAAAAAAACAGCCTTTGGGATACAGAGTAAAAATAAACAAATTAACATCAATAAACTGTTTTAAATTTACATACACATACAAACTTACATACAAACTTTTGCAGATGCCATTTTTTGTTTTCTGTTATTTTGAAAGTGTAAATGATGGAAATAAAATCTAACTTTTGTTGACATATTATAAGAATGTCTAATCTGTAATTTGATGCCTTTTGGAGATTTTTCCATCTTTCCTTGGCTTCTTTATGCACATTAATACAAATTTTTAGCTGGGGTGCCCAAACTTTCGATCCCCACTGTATATATACATACTTGGAATCAAACCTTTATTATTTTTTAGCAATAACATAGTGTGGGTGGATTTCTGCCAGTCACAGGCTGTGTCATGCCCCTTAAGCCTCTGTCTTAGAATAACAGGGAGATAAAGCCTCTATTAAGATGCAATACCCCCCATTGTTTGGCTTTTTAGTGGGCATTGAGGAGGAGATGGGAGTAGGCTGTCATTTACCACTGTGTATTCGCCCATATGTGTGACTCTATAGTCAAATGGGCTGCTCAGATGAGATAGGGAGGAAATGCTCAGGGTAGAGATACAATGAAAACTGAGCATGTACATTAGCTACCTACACTGCTCTGCAAAATCCCCAACTGCATTGGGGACATGATAGAACAGGAGGGGGAACTAGAGAACAGCAGGATCAACCAGGTTTTTTCCAGAATACAGAAAATGAATCCCATAGTGAATGAGTGAGGATGAACAGCAGGTAATACAGTATTTATAATTATTAATGATGTGGGTTTAGTGACACTTTAAAAAGAAAAAAACTCAGAACATTTATAAAGCACAGTGATGTGCTTTATAGACATGCTTAGTGCTCTGTCAGCTTTGGAACTCTGAAGCCAGGGGAGCTCTAGTAAAAGAATGGGACATGTGTAAAAAATGCTGGGGAAAGAGCCCAATCACATGACCTGTTAAAATCATATTAACAGCTTTTCTACAATCATGGAGCTTTCACCACTGAGTGAAACAGAAGGAATTATGTGGAGTTCCACAGGTTCCATGACATAGCCTACATTTTATAAATGGCCTGTAAAATTGTGGGCCACAGTCTGCATAGCCCAGTGGACTATAATGAAGAAAGGAGAGCAATATCTGCTCTCCATTTTAAATTAACCCATTTGGCAAGAGATAGGGTGCATTCCCCTCCACAAGAAAATGTCTGGACAAATGTTGTATAGAGCACTGTATGGAGAGTGTTGCAAATAGTTTAATGTAACAAACTCCATAACACAAAAGCCCCTAAGCCCTGTCATTTTGTTGTGTACTCTTTGAACAAAAGCAGCTATTCCTGCAAAACATACACATGCAAATCAGTGATAGGTGTTCTGATGGGTGTTGTCTGGGAATGAGTCTGGGAATGATGTACAGACATTTTCTTGGATGTGATAATGCTAGTAATATGCATGCACTTTGGCAGTGAGGACTATATTAACTCTGTAAATGAACACATTCATTCATTGTGACGTTGGCAGTATGGGATGCATCTGCTATGTTCAGCTACTTCTGAGCTCTTAATTTGTTGATGTGTTTAAAACAGCATATGGAAAACTGAGTCTGGGAATGCTTTGGACTCTCATTGCAAAAGTGTTTGTCTTTGGCCTTGGTTGACCTCTGCTGCCTGGGACATAATCAGTGATGGACACATGATAAAAGCTTACTGCTACTTTTTTAGCTGTAATTTATTTTTTATCTGGAACATTTACTGTAGATTATGTAGCTTTTCAAAATTATATACAGTATGTTCTACCACTCCTGGATCTGTAGGCAGTCTATGGACATATAACTGTTTGCATATTTTCAACTTAAAATGAGCTCTCATTAATCATAGTAATTGCAGGCACCATGGAACAATTCATCCTCACATTTTAAGAGTAGAATTCTAAGTGAGAAAACAAAGTAAACAAACATTTTTAAATACTGATTTTTTTCATTATAAAATGGAGTAATGGAGGGTTTATTTTTTTGCCATCTGTCAGTTTGTTTTTTACCATCTGCATTCCATTGGGGGGATTTCCCTTCACTTTCTGTCCCATGGCTGAAACAGGAGGTGGAATAAAATCCCTCCAAATTAACAGAATTCCTTGGGGACCCCTGTAACAGTGTACACCCAGAGACTGACGCAAGCCTCCATTTTGTTAAGAGTTCTCCATGCCCTCATTCTCCCCCCTTCCTCTCTGTTCAGCCACAGTAACATCTGGTTGTGGGTCACTGGCAGGCTAGAGCCAGCAGGGAGCCCAGAGCTATAAAACACCTCTCTGAGCTGGGGCCTCGCTGTCCAAAGAACCTGTAAAATGTAACACCTCATATAAGATAAGGCAAGCTTTCCCAGGAGTTCAAAGAACCTTCCAAGGAAACACGACCAGCTAACCTTTGTTAAAATCCATTTTTCCCCTATGTCTCATATCTTAGAATATGAGAGACCTACATATCGTCAGATTGGCTAAGAGAAAACTAACAATTTGATGGGTCACTCGCCTTGTCTCAAATACATAGGAAAGCCGAAAAATAGATCTCGTGAACCGTTCAGGGTATAATGTCATAATTCATATCTAATCAATCCTCAGACATGTCTGCATAATAATTTACCTGCGGGTGGTATGTCACTTGTGCAGATGGAAAGTTATGGGCCAAAATATGAGTTATGGGAGATTTTGGCTCTAGTTGAGGTATCTGCCCATACCTACACGCCCTAAACGGGGTATTGGTCCTTGACTTCAGAGACACCCCCTGCTGGGGAACTACAAAATAGGCTGTCAGGCATAAGAGAAATGAGTTGAAACCGTCTCCCATTTTAACATCAGTACCACTTGGGGAGACCCATGCCTTTTCACTCTGAAACTTGGATCTGCTAACCCAGGACTTTGGCAAGTACTTTAACCCTTTCACCTCTCTCTGATATCTCTTTGCTGTGCTGTTGGTTTCAGTGTATTTATATATATATATATCTTAGTTACATCTTTTCTGTAAATATTTTTATTGCACCGTTTGACCTTTTCACAATAAATCTTTCCTTCTGAAAGTGTTGAACTGTTTCTATAGCGCTTTATTGCAA